GGTCAGGTGCTGATTTATGGGTCTACAGGAAGGAAAAAGGTGATCGGCACCTTGGAACACAAAGTAAATCATGAATTCTCATGAACTGACTGATGCCAGGAAGATACTTAAAGCAGCAGCCAGGGGCAGCTCTGTAAATACCATTGGAATCAAGTCTTCATTAACCGGAATTTTCAACGTCATTGGAAACTTTACACCCGTCTGTCAGTGGGACTTCATAAAGATTTCGTTTTAAGAAGTGGTTGTTTTGGGTTGATTGTAGAAACGTGCAGAGGAAACACTCAGAGCAGCAAGTGTCTTTGAAACATGGTATTCCTACATTTGGGGTCAGCTCTAGACCACCTGGCACTGTTTGTCTGCAACTGTTTTCTTAATTTGTCAAGCACAAACAAACGTGGTTTATATATTGTGAGTACAATCGGTCCTTGAACAACGTGCGGGTTAGGTTACCGGCCCGGACACAGTTGCAAATCCACGTGTAACTCTTGCCTTCCCCAAAACTTAACTACTAATGGCCGACTATTGATCTGAAGCCTTACCAATAACATTACCATTCAATTAAAACATATTTTGTATGTTATACATATTATATACTGTATTCTTACAATAAAATAAGCTAGAGAAAAGAAAATGTGATTAAGAAAATCATAAGGAAGAGAAAAATACATTTATAGCACTGTGCAGTATTTAGCAGACAAAAAAGATTCCATGTATAAGTGGACCTGTGCTGTTCAAGGGTCAAACTGTAAGTAAACTCACAAACGTCTGATACGATTTCACGTACTGCAATCAGTCACTGGAACATTTAGCGGACGTTTTTGTTAAATATACATTGAACCGAAGAAAACATTTCACAAAAGCTTTGAGAATGTGAGATACATTTTTGTCACTTTGGGTTAAGCATACACTGAAGGTCACACCAGCATCCCCATAAATTACATTTTCTCCACAGGTATTATGTTCAAGGACACCGTTATTATTCCTGCCATGGTTGACTAAGGAGTAAAGAGGGACATATGTGGCCCAAAAGAGTAACGTAATTCCAAATACGCATTTTTACTGATCGTGCAGTCCGTCACCTGGTAGAGTCAAAATAAATAATCGGTGAGAAACACACAAATGAATGTATAAAAGATCCGCCAGGTGGGAAGGAGGCCAGGAAACGATTTAGAATCCCCTGCAAGTCGAGGGCAGAGGTACTGGTGAGCCGGGGCCTGGTCCTCCTCCATGCAGCACCCGCTGTGTGTCACTAGACAAATTAATAAACCTCTCTGGGGCTCCAGTTGTTCCTTTGTAAAATGGGATTGGTCATACTAACGCCTGCCTCGATCTTGAGAGTATCGGATGGGTTAANAAATATACATTGAACCGAAGAAAACATTTCACAAAAGCTTTGAGAATGTGAGATACATTTTCATCACTTTGGGTTAAGCATACACTGAAGGTCACACCAGCATCCCCATAAATTACATTTTCTCCACAGGTATTATGTTCAAGGACACCTGCCATGGTTGACTAAGGAGTAAAGAGGGACATAGATGGCCCAAAAGACTAACATGATTCCAAATACGCATTTTTACTGATCGTACAGTCCGTCACCTGGTAGAGTCAAAATAAATAATCGGTGAGAAACACACAAATGTATAAAAGCTCCGCCAGGTGGGAAGGAGGCCAGGAAACGATTTAGAATCCCCCTGCAAGTCGAGGGCAGAGGTACTGGTGAGCCGGGGCCTGGTCCTCCTCCACGTGGCACCCGCTGTGTGTCACTAGGCAAATTAATAAACCTCTCTGGGGCTCCAGTTGTTCCTCTGTAAAATGGGATTGGTCATACTAACGCCTGCCTCGATCTTGAGAGTATCGGATGGGTTAACACACACAGTAGTAAAGTGCTTGCTGTAAATGTTAGCGATCATTTTCGTGAATTATTTTCATAATGCCAGTGGCAGTTACCGATGGCCTACTGAAGGCATGACAGTGCTGTGTATGCGTATTACTTGAACTAGAACATCTTGGGAAAAATTTGATGGTAGTTACACAACACATTCAGTGTGTCAACCACAGCAGCTTATCTTTTCTTATATTATAATAAATTACGCTCCCAATTCTGAATGAAGAGTTTCTTGGCTTAAATATAGAGAAAAGGAACAAATGATTCATTGGCCTACACAGTTCTATCCACGTACAGGCGCTGGCACTCTTTTTCTGTCAAGGGCCACCTGGTAAATACCTTAAGCTTTGAGGGCCAATGGTCTTCTGTTGTACCTGCTCAACTCGGCCACTAAGGCGTGAAAGCAGCCACTGACAATTCTCAACAAAGGGGAGTGGCTGTGTATCAATAAAACTTTATTTAAAAGAACAGGTGATGGGCCAGTTATGGCCTGTGTGGGCTGTACCTTGCCAAGTGCACCCACGACTTCTCCAAGACTGTGATGATGTTTAGAGTTTGTTTATTATTTTATATTAAATTTTACAACTTGAATGAACAGAAAGCAGTAACAGAGTCAAGTTTTCAAACTATCGTGAAACCAGTGTAGTTTCTGTGGGGGAATGGTTCTATGTCTCTTCCTCTTTGTCCTGGGATCTTCCACCCCATGATGGCTTCGAGAGGCACCTGGCTCTAATGCCATCACGTCGCTCTGGCAGCCCTGCCCAACTGCAGAGCAAGGGAGTCCCACTTTGGCTCCGTGGCCTGTCAGGGGACAGTGCCCTGTCCCTGGGACTGTTTTACTCCTGCTCAGGAAATGTGCAGTCTACAGTGGGAAGCAGGAGCTTATCAAATTAGGAGAGCAGAAGTCTGCTAAGAGAACAGTCTGTGTCACTAACGTCACTCTGGGGGTGAAAGTTTACACAGAGCACACCGCACAGCACCTGCTCTGTCCAGCCACTTATAAACACGGTCTGGAGATTTTCCTCTCTTTATCACTGAACTATGAACCTCAAAAGAAGGGACGCTTTGCACAGAGATCTGCAGGACAGTGGAATATACTGACAGAGATGACGTGCTATAAATTAACACTAAGATCACAATTACAAAAAAAAACCTATACAGGTCCTTTTGATTTCTTAAGGGGAAGGAGAAAGCCTAAGAATTCAAAGAAAACACCGTCTTATCTGGAGACTGCAAATAAGCATGTATAGATCGAAAGTATGTGTTTTAAGTTAATACTCACTTTGTCTACACCAGCACTCAAAATATAATTCCCCTTTTTGTTCCATTTCAAGGCAAAGATGGGGCCTTTATGTTGGCCTAAGGTGCTGGCCAGGTTACCTGTTATGTAAAAAAAATACAGACAAACATGTTGACTTCAAAGTCATGGTCTGTTCACTTCGCGGCTACATACAGAAGCGGGTCCCGTCCAACCCCAACACGACAGACGCAGGACTTACCGTCTTCCGTCCATATCCTTGCAAAACCATCGTATGAACCTGTGGCCAGAAGTGTCCCATCGCTCTGCGGGCCAGAAAGAGACACAAACCCACAGAAGCAGCTTAGTAGTGGTGGCACCAGAAAAGGACACAGAACTCGCCAGGATCCCAAGTCTAGAATATTCCTAAGCCGATAACTGATGCCACATTATGAGACTAACGGGTCACCTCTGACTACTTCAGCACACACTGCTGTTAAATTAAACGCAAGGCATGTGGACCAGGAAGCGAGAAAGCCACACTGGAACCACTCAACCTTGTGTGCTGTCTAATTAAGGACAGAATTTAAAATACCTACAGAAAGTCATCCTAAGACTTTGCAGAAAGCAAAAAGAAGTCCAATGGCGTGTTTCCCATGTATAAATGCACATAGCAGCTCGTCCTGAGCTCTCGAGGTGGAAAGTTTTCTTTCCTGGCTGCTTGTCACAGCTCCCCAGCTGAGCCTTCCCAGGGTCCCACCTTCGCGCTGTGAGGTCCCCCTCACAGAGCCATCAGGCTCGACTCACTCACGTGTGCTGACCATGCGAAGGCACAGCCACCCAACACCCAGCTCGCTCTGTGCCCGCCATGGCCTCAGCAGGAGCTCTTGGAGATGGAGGGCACCTGTGAGCCCGCAGCTCAGGGCAGGGCCACCATACCCTGACATTTCAAGGAGCCTGGGGGGTGGAAGATGCTTACATTCCAGTCCAGTGAAGTGACATCTTTGTTACTGGGGACATCGTGTCCCCCTTCCCGTATACAGTGCCTCAACACGAGCTGGGTGGAGTCCCCGTTGCTGTGTTCATTAAGGTTCCATATCCTGGCCGTCGAGTCTCCAGACCTGCAGAATAAAAACACACGCACGTAGGCTCTTGGTGGGAACAGCTCTTCCCACCCCTCCCATGCACCACCCCCTCCCCGCCTCTGCATTTAGCAGTTTTAAATGTCTTTGCTCTCAATCCCATGGAGAACACGGCGGGGAATGTCAACTTCTCCACAATCCGAGACACACAGAGCTGTGGAGTGCACAGGACCCGCTTGGGATCTGCTCATGTCAGGAAGACGTGACACACGAGGTCAGACAACAGCACGTGTCCCTTGAGGCAGAACGCCAGAGACGAGCAGGGGTTCCCCTGACCCTGGAGCGTCCCCAACCTGACATCCTCACCCAGAAGCCAGCAGATCACTGACAGGGTTCCAGGCACAAATGAACACCTCGGACTCATGGCCCCGAAGGACTGTGGCTTTGTTGGGTGGAATCTCAACGTCCCCGTCAATTTCCATGGGTTTCGAGTGATTATCTGTTGTAGGAAACACAAAAAGGCACGTGGCTTATCAATACAAAAGAAACTCATTCTCAGGGGGCTTCTGTTTTAGAAACACCTTGTTTTTTATGTACTAGGCGATACCATCTCTGATGATTATAACTAAATCATGGCTTTGTGTGATTGGGTATTTTATGTCTCTTTGTATTTTGCTAGGCTTCAAATTTGAGTGAAAAATACACTTATTTATTCTTTAAAATTGGGGCCAGTCAACTATGACCCATGGGCCAAAATCTAGCCTGCTGCAGCCTCTCCTCATAAATAACGTTTAAGTTATTTACTGACGCCCATATATTCATGCATTACCTGTAGCGACTGTTACAGGATGAATTCCTGTGTTGACACCCTAACCTTCAGTACCTCAGACAGTGACTGTATTTGGGGATGGGGTCTTTAAAGAGGTGATTAAGGTAAAATGAGGTCGCTAGAGTGGGTTTTAATCCAATACAACCGATGTCCTTATAAGAAGAGGAGATGAGGACACAGACACACACAGAGGGATGACCATGTGAGGACACAGGGAGAAGATGGTGTCTGCAAGCCAAGGAGAGAGGCCTCACGAGGAACCCGCCTGTCTCGCCTTGAGCTCAGACTTGCAGCCTCCAGGCCTGCGGGGAGGAATGTCTGCTGTTCCTGCCGCAGGTCTGCGGTGCGCTGCCACAGCAGCCCGAGCAGAGGAGGACAGCGGCTTCTGCATTTCAAGACAGAGTTGGGTGACAGAGACTGTGACAGAGACTGCCTGGCCCTCAACGCCTGTGACAGTCACTGTCTGGCCCCTTAGGGAGAGTTTAGCAGCCCCTGCTTTACGGGAAAGAGAAGGCAGCGGTCCGGTCTAACCAGCACACACTCAGCAGCAGCTGACAGTTTTGTAATGCGGTGTAGAGCTGAGTCTGCTGTTACGTCTTCTTGTTCAGGTATTTTGGTGGAAAACCCCAGGAAGAGGACTCACTTCTCAGTGGCAGGTAACCTAAGATCCACTGCTTCTGGGTCAACACATAAAAATATGAAAGTGCCTGGCGACCCTGCTTGGATTGAGAAGCCTGACTCAAAATCTTCACAGCCTACCCTCAGGGACAGTGGGGCTGTGAAAAAACGCTACTTCTTTTATGCTTCCCGAGTTCCCATGTGGCTGGGAGAAGATGAAGAAAAGCAAAACGATCTTCCACGTTTGGTGGATCCATCCCCTGGTGATGGCGAGAGGACAGCTGGCGTCCTAGCGAGCCGTGCAGCGGGGGCCTGGGACTCCGTGGAGGCATGCAGAGGAGGCCGTCACCTGCTCACTTATCCACAGGCAGCCGNCAGCCACCCAACACCCAGCTTGCTCTGTGCCCGCCATGGCCTCAGCAGGAGCTCTTGGAGATGGAGGGCACCTGTGAGCCCTCAGCTCAGGGCAGGGCCACCATACCCTGACATTTCAAGGGGCCTGGGGGGTGGAAGATGCTTAGGTTCCAGTCCAGCGAAGTGACATCTTTGTTACTGGGGACATCATGTCCCCCTTCCCATATACAGTGCCTCAACACGAGCTGGGTGGAGTCCCCGTTGCTGTGTTCATTAAGGTTCCATATCCTGGCCGTCGAGTCTCCAGACCTGCAGAATAAAAACACACGCACATAGGCTCTTGGTGGGAACAGCTCTTTCCACCCCTCCCATCCACCACCCCCTCCTCCCCATCTCTGCATTTAGCAGTTTTAAATGTCTTTGCTCCCAATCCCATGGAGAACACGGTGGGGAATGTCAACTTCTCCACAATCCGAGACACACAGAGCTGTGGAGTGCACAGGACCCGTTCGGGATCTGCTCATGTCAGGAAGACGTGACACACGAGGTCAGACAACAGCACGTGTCCCTTGAGGCAGAACGCCAGAGACGAGCAGGGGTTGCCCTGACCCTGGAGCGTCCCCAATCTGACATCCTCACCCAGAAGCCAGCAGATCGCTGACAGGGTTCCAGGCACAAATGAACACCTCGGACTCATGGCCCCGAAGGACTGTGGCTTTGTTGGGTGGAATCTCAACATCCCCGTCAATTTCCATGGGTTTCGAGTGATTATCTGTTGTAGGAAACACAAAAAGGTACGTGGCTTATCAATACAAAAGAAACTCATTCTCAGGGAGCTTCTGTTTTAGAAACACCTTGTTTTTTATGTACTAGGCAATACCATCTCTGATGATTATAACTAAATCATGGCTTTGTGTGATTGGGTATTTTATGTCTCTTTGTATTTTGCTAGTCTTCAAATTTGAGTGAAAAATACACTTATTTATTCTTTAAAACTGGGGCCAGTCAACTATGACCCATGGGCCAAAATCTAGCCTGCTGCAGCCTCTCCTCATAAACAACATTTAAGTTATTTACTGACACCCATATATTTATGCATTACCTGTAGCGACTGTTACAGGATGAATTCCTGTGTTGACACCCCAACCTTCAGTACCTCAGACAGTGACTGTATTTGGGGACGCGGTCTTTAAAGAGGTGATTAAGGTAAAATGAGGTTGCTAGAGTGGGTTTTAATCCAATACGACTGATGTCCTTATAAGAAGAGGAGATGAGGACACAGACACACACAGAGGGACGACCATGTGAGGACACAGGGAGAAGATGGTGTCTACAAGCCAAGGAGAGAGGCCTCACGAGGAACCCGCCTGTCTCGCCTTGAGCTCAGACTTGCAGCCTCCAGGCCTGCGGGGAGGAATGTCTGCTGTTCCTGCCGCAGGTCTGCGGTGCTCTGTCACAGCAGCCCGAGCAGAGGAGGACAGCGGCTTCTGCATTTCAAGACAGAGTTGGGTCGCTGTGACAGAGACTGCCTGGCCCTCAACGCCTGTGACAGTCACTGTCTGGCCCCTTAGGGAAAGTTTAGCAGCCCCTGCTTTACGGGAAAGAGAAGGCAGCGGTCAGGTCTAACAAGCACACACTCAGCAGCAGCTGACAGTTTTGTAATGCGGTGTAGAGCTGAGTCTGCTGTTACGTCTTCTTGTTCAGGTATTCTTGTTCAGGTATTTTGGTGGAAAACCCCAGGAAGAGAAGGACTCACTTCTCAGTGGCAGGTAACCTAAGATCCACTGCTTCTGGGTCAACACATAAAANAGGACTCACTTCTCAGTGGCAGGTAACCTAAGATCCACTGCTTCTGGGTCAACACATAAAAATATGAAAGTGCCTGGCGACCCTGCTTGGATTGAGAAGCCTGACTCAAAATCTTCACAGCCTACCCTCAGGGACAGTGGGGCTGTGAAAAAACGCTACTTCTTTTATGCTTCCCGAGTTCCCATGTGGCTGGGAGAAGATGAAGAAAAGCAAAACGATCTTCCACGTTTGGTGGATCCATCCCCTGGTGATGGCGAGAGGACAGCTGGCGTCCTAGCGAGCCGTGCAGCGGGGGCCTGGGACTCCGTGGAGGCATGCAGAGGAGGCCGTCACCTGCTCACTTATCCACAGGCAGCCGTGGCACGCTGCAGCCCCGACAGGCTGGTCTGCAGACCAGGTGTGAGGTGCTGAGAAGGGGTCGAGGAGGCTGCTGCAGAACTTAAGAGCAGTGAGCCAGGGTGGATTAGCCATGTGCACGGGCAAGATAAGGAGGCCGGGCTCCCTGGGGCAGGGGTCAGTGCCCAGACCCAGCCTGGGCAGAAGAACTCCCACTCCCACGGCCACAGCAGGGAGCAGCCTCCAGAGGAACAGACCAGGGATGGGGAACGGGTAAGGAGCCGACCTCAGACCAGGGAGGTGGCAGAATGGCTCAGGTCCTGGATGGGGCACAGGCATGCCTTGCATTCTGACTGTGGGTCCCAGGACAGGGCACCTCTTTTGTCTCTGTTGTTCTAGTTTTAAATAGATTTTCTGATGTGGGAGTTAGTTGGTGGAAGGTGCACCGGGCCTGAGCAAGTTTTGTGATATGACTGTCGAGCTCTGACTCATCCGCTGCATACTCTTGGGCCATTAGCTAACAGGTCTAACCTCCTGCGGTTTTGCAATGACCGAGTAAGATGATGCCTGGTGTCCAGGGCGTGGTGCCCTTGTGCTAACCATGGGCTCGACTACTAGACCATACTTTGGCTGAAAACCCTCCGCACGGAAGGTTGAGAGAGATCCTTGCTTATGTTGGACAGGGAGCATCTAGTACTTGCCCCTGTTCCACGCGAGCCCTCAGGAGCAGGGCAGCAGGATTTCATAAAATCCAGGATGTGTGTCGAGAAGGTCGGGTCTAAGGATTTTGGTGACAAACAGGGAACGTGAAGCTCTTCCAGCCAGACAGTAAGCAAGCACTGGAAAGCAACTGGTGAGAAGTTGACAGCAGGCAGATCTCTAAGAAGTTGTTGCATTCGCCCAGTTTTAGAAGCACAATAAAGCGCCAGAAGCCCCGCACTTACTTATTGCGTGTGCTCCGTTCTCCTCCCCGTTGACCGTGGCGTCTCCGTTCTTTGGTGGATTTTGCTGGGAAACTGCTGCTGGGGCTGCCGTGGCTGCTGCTGCTGCTGCTGCTGCGGCCGCCGCACTGGCCTGCTGCTGCGCAAGCTTCTCGCGGAACGCCTGCTGCCGCGTCTGCACCACGTCGGGCATCACAGCGTCTATCAGGGACAGGGACTCTATGGGGCGGCCGNGCTGCTGCCGCCGCTGCTGCTGCGGCCGCCGCACTGGCCTGCTGCTGCGCGAGCTTCTCTCGGAATGCCTGCTGCCTCGTCTGCACCACGTCGGGCATCACAGCGTCTATCAGGGACAGGGACTCTATGGGGCGGCCGTCAAACACCGTGCCATCCTGGGAAAGTAAGCCAAGGGCAGCCGTCAGCACCCACAAAACAGGACCTCCAGGACCAGACTCTGCCTTCCAGGTGGGAGAGGTGCAGGAAGGTGGCCCAGAAACAGAGACGCCTGGGAGTTCAGGGGCTGGGGCCCGGGGGGACGATGGCATCAAACAAGTATTGGGACTGTAGGGCAGAGCAGAGGGACTCCATGGTGGGCCAAGGACAGGGAGGTGGACAAGGGGAACCGTCGATGAAGAACTAGGTATGATGGCTGTCCCGAGGGAGACCTGATATTTGGTAAGTGTCAACCTGAACTGGGGCTTTAAGGACATCTGAATGTGTCTCCTTTATTCCAGGACAAAAGTGCTATATCCCTGATGCAAGGATTCTCAACAGGGGCGGGGGTATGTGTATGGGGGAGTAATTTTGTCTCCTTGGGGGACATCAGGGAATAATGACTGGAGACATTTTTCATTGTCACCACTTGGCGGGGGATCTACTGGCAGCTGGTGGGTGGAGACCAGGGATGCTGGTCCACATCCTCCAGTGCACAGGACAGTCCCCACCACAGAGCAGAGTCCAGCCACAAATGTACATAGTGCTGAGCAGGAGAAACCCTGCCCAGTGCCACGGCCAGTGTGGAAAATCTCTTTAAATAAGTACCCACTTTTGTGGGAGGAGTAAGTCTTTGGAATCATCAGCCCCGATTTAGAGATGCCTGCAGCATTCAGGATTTCCTTCCTGGTGCACGTGCCCATCTGATCTAATAAAATAAGCACTTGCAGCTACTTGAAACGACGCCCTGGACTCAGGGTTTAGACCGAATACAGCCACGATACAACCGACAATGACCTCGTTTAGCTCTGATTCACATTTTTTGTTTTAAAAGATGACCGGTAAGGGGATCTTAACCCTTGACTTGGTGTTGTCAGCACCACACTCTCCCGAGTGAGCCCAGGCTGGCCCTCTGATTCACATTTTTGTCTGAACATCCTTCGATTCGCTGGTACTATCAAAAAAATTTCTGTACACACTTAAAAGTAAGACGTGCTTTCCAAATACTCGAATCACATGAAACCCACAGTGCTCAGGGTGCTGGCTCGTGGATGGACAAACACATTTTTGTGTGCTCTGAACTTGAGGCAGGAGAGGAGGAAGGCAGGAGGGAGCTGGGACACGTGGACTCATCCGTGGGACTCAGCTGAATCCCGAGAGCACATATGAAGGGCCCAGAGAGGTGAAGGGAACTGTTTAAAACCCAAATAACTGACTTTCAAAATTTCTATCAAATTGGCACAGCCCCAATCTAGAAGGTGGGAGGGGATACAAGAGAATCTGGATGATTTTAATTGATGGTTTTTGTTCCATCTTTCCCCGGATCAGCTCCACAAGGAGCACAGTCATGAAACCATCGCCTGAAGTCACTTTAACACGGGGCCATCATCTCTCTGTCCCTGACTGTCCCTCTGGTTATGCCCTCTGTCAGGCTCCCAGGAATGCTTGGGACCAGAAGCATTTCACAGTGTGAAATTTTTTTCTGAGTCTGGAATATTTGCATTATACTTACTGGTTATGCACCCCAAATCCAAAAATCCAAAATCTGAAATGCTCACATGAGCATTTCCTCTGAGCATCACATTGACGCTCAAAAACTTCAGATTTTGGAACATGTAGGATTGCGGATTTGGGATGCTCAACGTGTAACAAAAACCAGACAAGCAACCCCAGCTTGCTCTCAGATGCCTGCAGGAAGCACACGCAGGCTTTGGACCGGGGTCCCGAGCCCCCGCGCCCATCACGTACCTCGTTGATGCTGATCTCAGCCTCCACATACTGCAGCCCCTTCTGCAGGATGGAGATGAGGGCGGCGGGCGGCACCAGCGTCCCGTTGATGTTGGACTGGCTGATGTGGCTCTCGATCCCGAACGTGAAGGCCGAGTGGGAAAAACCTGCAGCGAGAGGGAGGCCAGGCAGGTGAGACCAGAGCTGGAAGAGCGGGCACAGCCAGCAAGCTCTGAAGCGGGCAGCGCGGATTCCAACCATGCTTCATTAACGGGGTGGACACTGCTGCAGGGCGCCCGGCTTCCGATGTGGGGTCAGGCAGGCAGGAAAGGGCAGGGGGAGAGAGACGAGTGTGAGACCAAGGAAGACTGGGGAAGGGATGAGACACCTTCATGGGAGAACCGTTTCAGTGCTATTAAGAAGCACAAGGGAACAGAGTGGAGGCTGCCCCGTGTGCCCTGGATGGCTGTCTCTTGCAGAAATCCAACTCTGGGCATCCCCGGGCCCCTTGGTTCACATATTCTTTGCAGGAGCTCAGTGCTGCAGCCTCTCTGCGTCCCCTTCCTCCCCCATTGTGTCTCCTTGACTGCCTGTGTGGGAAGCTGCTTGGCAACTCAAAGGCATTTTGGATGAAGGTCCTTAAGGAAAAGTTCAGGAGAAGAGCCAGGACGGCTACTGAGCGTGGATGACAGCTGTGTCACAAAAAGAAGGCAATGGCATGAGGCATGGAAGGAGGTGCTGGGGGTGCACAGAGGGGTCTGAGGGCAGTGGGGAAGCTGCAACAGCCCCTCCTCAAAGACAGGAAAGTGGCCCCCTGCTGTCGTTGGGGGTTCTGCGCAGCTGCAGGTAAAACAGGCGGCCCAGTCTGGTGGGGCTTGATCACCCCGTGTGGTCCATAGGCGGCCCTGGGGTGCTTGAGGGCTTGTAATCCCAGGGAGGTGAATGCTGTGGGGGGATCCGAGTAACCTGGACCCCCATGCTCGGCTCCCTGGCCAGAGGCGGGGCAGGGCCTCTCCCTCCGTTTCTATTGTCTGCTGATCGGGCAGCAAGGGTTCTCAAAGCGACCACTCCTCCTGACTTTGCTCTGCCCACTGTTTATGGCAACGTTGCCGGTTTGCAGGCTTAGCCCCTGGTTACCCGAGCAGGTGGGTGCCTTTCCACCTGGCCTGGCGATTGCTTCCCTTCCACCCTCCCTCAGTCACCCGAACAGAGGCAGCGGGATCAGGAGCGCACGGGCTCGGCTTCCATCAGATGCAATATCATCATCAGCCCTGCTGCCTCCCGTTACCCAAATCGAACTGACTTTGCAATAAACCAAAGTCTCACTAGATGGGAGCACACCTCCATGAAAAGAGGCGTTTGTGTCTGTGTTCCCCTGCCCCGTCCCCTGCTCACTTCCCTATCCACTCGCTCCTCCCCAATCCACCCCGTCCCTCCCTCATCTCCCGGTTATCACGGGTGTGTAAAATAGCTAGTTTGTATTTACGGAACGGAGCAAACGTGGTAGCTGTCATTAATTCTGCACTCAGCTGCATACAGCCCTGTAATTCTTTACAAAACCATACCTAAATTAGGTTGCAAGGATTCCTCTCTTCTGCGTTTTCGGAGGATACAAGCACAGGCCCTTTACAGTAGACCTTACCTTTCCCTTCTCCCCTGTTTTCTTTCTCTTTACCCACCTTCCTTTCCCTGACCCACTGCTAGCAAAACAAAACAACCTACCCCTGCGTTCAACCAGTGACTCCCCTGTATCTCCACCATGCTGTGCAGGGTTATAGCTCCAGGCTTTCCTCGCCCAGGTTTCCAGCAAGGCTGATCAATGGATGGAGGGCTAAGTCTCATCCTCCTGGTATCCTGAAAAGACCTCATGCAGGGCTATGACACTGCAGTCATAATAATAATGACAGCCAGCCCTCACAGGGCAGCCACTCTCAGCCTGGCATTGCTTCTGGGGCTTTATACGAATTCACTCAAGCCTCCTGGCAGTCGTTCCCTCTGCCGTCCTTCCCTCGTTCCTCCGCTTCCCCATTCACAGAATAGGTCCCTGAGATCTATCAAGGGTGACTGATGGGCCCACATCACTGAGCTCGCAGGGGTGGGGCTGAGCTCCAAACCCCGGCAGTGGGACACTGTGCTTAGTCACTGTAAAACACTGTCGAGAAACATCTACTAAACACTTCAGAGCACAGCATTCACTGCTGATGAGGGCTCCTGACAAACAAATCTCAGTGACTGCTGGAGCAATTGTGCAAATGAAGTCCAGCTTCTGGTGTGCAGATGCTCCTCGACTTACAATGATGTCATGTCTCGATAAACCATCGCGTTAAAATACTGAAAGTCCAAAGTGCATTTAATACACCTAACCCACCAAACATCACAGCTTAGCCTCGCCTGCCTTAAATGTGCTCAGAACACCTACATTAGCCTACAGGTGGGCAAAATCACCTCACGCAAAGCTTGTTTTATAATAAAGTGTTGAACATCTCATGTAATTTACTGAAAATCATATGGAAAGTTAAAAGCAGAATGGCTGTATGAGAACTCAAAGTACGATTTCTACTGAATCACATTTACACCACCGTAAAGTCAAAAAATCATAAACTGAACCACAGCAAGCCACGGACTGTCTATATTTCACTCATTCACTCACTCATTCATTCATTCGTTCTCTCAAGCAACACCGGGCCACAGAACTGATGTTTAAGGATGCATGCTCTGAGAAGCACAGAGGATCCTGACTGCATTGCTACCTTTAGCCGAATCTGGGCGCTTTGTATCCATTACCTAAATCTTTACAGCAGCTCTTCAGAGCCGGTACTGTCTTTGTTTTACACATAAAAAGGGAAAATATTGGAGAAATTAGGTAACTTGTCCAAGGTTCACACCTGTGATGAGAGGCTGATCTAGAATTTGAACCCTAGACCCCGTTATTCCAAGATTCATCCTTTTACCCTACATTGTAAGACCCACAGGCACAGGAAGCAGAAGTCCTGCACCCTCTAGGCTGACGCAGATGGCACTCCCACCTGCTGCCCGGCTGCCCGGCTGCCCGGCTGGCAGCTCTGAGAAGCAGCATCGCTGCAGGACCAGGTACCCTGCAGACAGGTGCAGAGCCCATTTCTATTTCTAACCACAGGCCTGAGTATGCCCCTTATTTCTCTCTTTCTCTGGGGTTTTAAATGTTGAGTATATGGTTTGACTGCATCACTTTCTTACCTTCATGGGATGAAGCTCTTTGGTGGGGACTCCAACTCTAGACTGCAATGATGACGGTACTGAGTTGAGTCTTCTTGAAAAAGGGACGGAGCAGTAAAGATGGGCTGAGGGTGTGGGAGTCTGAGCTGAAAACAGTCTGCTAGAATGAGTTTCCCCATGGCAGCGGAATGACGAGGAAAAAGCAGGATAAAGCTCTACAGGGTACCATTACCTTGAACTCTTTTGATTAGCCTGGGTCCTCTACTGGAGACAGCGGGTAATCATGACTGGAAATTAGGCACCTCCATAAAGACTCGCAGCCTGTACGTTCCATATCCCTGTTCAAAGAAGTTCTCCTAGTTACTTAAATTCATATTAGTTGCATCTCTTTCAATGGATCTGTATATGAACTCTAAATCAATGGTTTTTCAGTCCATTTACTTGTCAGACTTTCTCGCTGACTCCTGGCCAGTCTGATGTCATCAAGGCCGGAGGGGGGCTCGATGGGGAAGACGTTGGGAACAGTCACGATTGCTGACTTCTGTGTGTGCCCTGTCATCGAGCATCTGAGCCATGTCACTCACTGTGGCTGGGCCTCCGTTTCCTCTTCCATAGTGTGGCGATAAAAGGGACCTCAAGGAGCCGAAGGAAGAGCCAGATGCAAGAGCAGCCAGACCCCAGACGCTTACGGATCAGGACAGAAGACCACGAACTAGAGGAAACATCACTTTTTTGCATTTCTGTGTTGGTACAATGAAGATGTTGGATGAAACGACTGCTCGGACTCTTTCCAGTTCTGATATTCATTCTGTATCAGGGAGGTGTCTGCTATGGTCTGAATGTTGGTGTCTCCCCAAAATTCATGTTGGAAACTAATACCCATTGTGACAGTATTAAGAGGTGGGGGCTTTGGAAAGTGATTAAGTCATGTGTGCTCCGCGCTCATGAATGGGATTGTGTCCTTACACAAGAGACCCCAGAGAGCCCCCTCGCCTGTTCCACCATGTGAGGACACGGTGAGAAGACACTGCCTGTGAACCAGGAAGCAGGTCCTCACAGGACACGGAATCTGCCACACCTTGATCTTGGACTTCCAGCCTCCAGAACTGTAAGCAATAAATTTCTGTTGTTTGTAAATGACCCAGTCTAATGTATTTTGTTATAGCAGCCTGTACAGACTAAGACAATGCCCAAGGACTATGTAATTGAGGCCTGCTCGACTACTTCCTCTTAGGCTACAGTTGCTAGATTGCAGCCACAGCCAGGTGCTGTCCTGGAAGACATGTACTTCCAGGCAGGACACTTCTCTTCCAGGGCGAGCCGACCTCCACCACTGCCAGCGTCCCACCCCTCCCAATGGGACTCTAAGACTCATGAGCACATCCACGTCTCAGTCTGCCGG